TTCTAGAATCCCAGCTATTTAGGAGGTTAAGGCAGGAGGATTGCCAAGTTTTAAGGCCAGCTTTTATTTTGAGACAGCCAGACCCTGTCTCAAAATAAAATAAAAATGGACTGGGGATGTAGCTCAGAGATAGAATGTTCCTGGATTCAATCTCCAATACTAGAAAAAAAAAGATTTATAAAATATATAATCCAATTATAATCTGAGTTTTGTGGATACAGGTTCAAACACTTTAAAAAGCACATGACAGTTGTGGGGACCTTTAGAAGTTTGAACATAGGATTTTTGGTGACTTGAGGAATTACTACTAATTACTATTGTAGGTATAATAATATTGAGGTTATGTTAAAAATAAAGATTTCTTCCTTACTTTTTAGAGACACATAGTATTGAAATAAATTACAGAGAAAAAATTTTTAAAATGATTAGAGAAAAATTTGACAAATAAGTTTCAAAAGGGCAACAAGTATACCAACAGCTGATTTCTCAGTCTCAACAATAGGAACCAGAAAATACTATAATTAAGTAATTAATGTGGTAAATTTGAAATAATGAAAATACTTGCCAACCAGTGAAAATTCTGTACAAATTAGGGTAATATATCTGTTTAAACAAATCCAAAAATATCAGCGGCCTAACCAACATAAGTGTATTCTTTTGTCATCTAACGATACAGAGTAGGTGAACGCACAGAAATCCTCTGTGTTTATTCATTGGGGTGCCAGGTAGGAAAGACTCCATTTCCAGCACTTTGCTTCCAGAGTTTCCCTAATCAATCTTTGCAGCCAGACAACATAAATGAGGCTTGGTGGGGGGAAAGCAGAGCAAGGACATATCTTTAAAATACTTAGGGTTCTAATACTGTCTTGGAGGGGGAAGTAAAGGTACTTAACACTAAACAGGGGTGCAGGTTGTGATTTGGAGGTTAACTATTAAAAGAATAGAGATGGTGTGAATAATTTCCAAAATAGCAGAGGGTAAAACATTTGTTAAAAACCCCAAAGAATCAAGCCCAGCGATGTCCACCTGTAATCTCAACAACTTGGGAAGCTGAGGCAGGAAAATCGCAAGTTCAAAGCCACCGCAGCAGCTTAGTGAGGTCCTAAGCAACTCGGTGAGACCATGTTACAAAGTGGATCAATAATACTAGGTTAATAAGTTCAGAATATAATAACTTTTAATGAATGCTGTCTATATGCCAGATAATATTCTATTTTTGGTGGTATAGGGGTGAGGGGGGTCATACTGGAGATTGAACCCAGAGGCACTGAAGTGGCATCCCCAGCCCTTTGTATTTTTTAAGACAGGGTCAAGAAGTGTTTTGTGCCTTGTGCTGTGGTCTGCTGGGGCCAGCTTGCATTGACTCATGACAGCCATTGTGCTCATCTCTTCTAGTTCCGCATTTATTGTGGCCCCATAGCTTGATATTGAGTGTGATGGGAGTATTTACACCATGGTAATTGGCAAATGCTCTAAGTCAGGACTTAATTGTTTTTCTTTTTGTAGAGTCGAGTCCGGCATGCTATTATCTAGCAAAGTTCCTGGCACTAAGTAGGCACTCAGTAATATTTGTTGAATGAATAAACATGTTACTCCAAAGACCACATGTTTATCCTTGTCCTCAAGGTGTTTTCACTATACCTTGAATGGATCAGGACTCATTTCAGAATTTCCTGTCATAGGACACTCTTGCTGTGGACCATACTGGAGTACTGCTCTTGCAAACTTCGTGGTTATTTTCCTAAAGCAAACCTTGACATTCCTCCTGTCTAGTTCTGGTTTCCTGGAAACATTTGACAAGGGGAAAGTGGTAAGAGAAGCAAGAAGGATATCAGAGGTGACTCATCCTGATGACTGGGGTTATCTTAAGTTCTCAGGGGTCAGCATCCAGTATTTGTGAGGAGCCTGCCATTAGGCTGCAATTTGGATTTTACAGGCTTGAGGTTTCTGTGAGAATGTCAGGGTAGGTGAGGGAAAGTCACCAGATCTGGTGTGCATACATGATTAATTAGAAAATATGTGTGCAATTGGTGGTAGATGGTTGATGCCATTCGTAGAAGAGCTCCTAGTTGTGTGAGGGTGTCTGAGAAAGTGTAGGGTGCAACTGGAGCATGGAAAAGAAGAGGGAGAACGCAGGCTTTATTTGAACCGGCTGCTGATATAAAACTTTGGAGGGAGGGTTCAGATGTGGGACCCTCTGTATTAGAAGCAAGTGTGAGATCATGTGTCAGTCTGTTGTCACTTCCCTTCTTGCAGTCGCCTGTAAAATGATAGCAAAACTTGACTGTCCCCTAGTGGGTGTGTGTTGGAGGGATGTGGGGATGGAGAAGCAAAGGTGTGTGACATATTTGTCATTATGATAATCAATCCTACTCTGGGACAACAGCAGCACCACACAGCAACACAGTACCATCATTGCTTGCCCCTGATGAAAATAGCACGTACTTTTGTGATATTTCTTTGATCTTCCCACTTGATCCTGTGATATAGTCATGGCATCTGGTATAGTTTGGATCTGGAATGTTCCCCAAAGGCTCCTGTATTACAGGCTTGGTCCCCAGTACAGTGTGTTCAGAAGTGGGCTTTGGGGAAGTGATTAGATTGTGAGGACTCTGACCTCATTGGTGGATTACTTCACTGATGGATTCATAATTTGATGGCATTGGGCTGGGAATGTGGCTCAGGCGGTAGCGCGCTCACCTGGCATGCGTGCGGCCCGGGTTCGATCCTCAGCACCACATACCAACAAAGATGTTGTGTCCGCCGAGAACTAAAAATAAAATAAATAAATATTAAAAATTCTCTCTCTCTCTCTCTAAAAAAAAATTTGATGGCATTATTGGGAGATGGTAGACCCTAATAGGAAGAATAGGGGCCACTGAGGGTGTGTCCTTGAAGGGTATGTCATGTCCCTGCCCGCCTTCCCTCTCTTTTTTTTTTTTGCTTTCTAGTGACCTTTAGGTGAGCAGCTTTATTCCACCAAAACCTTCCACTATAATGTCCAGCCTCACCACAGGCTCAGAGCCATGGAACCAAGTGAATGATAAGCCAAAGTAAATTTTCCCTGCTTTAAATTGATTTTCTCAGGTATTTTGTCACAGTGTCAAAAAGCTGACTAACAGCCGGTAACATTGCCATTTACTTTTTATTTAATTTCTATTAAAGTAAAACAGTCTTATAGTTTAAAAATCATATGTACTATATAAATCTACACAGTGAAAAATATAGTTCTCACGTCTGTTTTCTGTCGTTCCAGTTTCTTCTACCTCAACAGATAAAACTCTGTCATGAGCTTTTTATTTTTCCAGGCTTTCCCTTTTAGACAATGGTAACACCCTTCACCCATCGTTCTGCCCTGTTTTTTTCTTTCTTCTTCTTTTTTTCTTTCTCCCTCCCACCTTTCTTTCTTTCTTTTTTTTTTTTTATATTTTTTTATTTTTTAGTTCTCGGCGGACACAACATCTTTGTTGGTATGTGGTGCTGAGGATCGAACCCGGGCCGCACGCATGCCAGGCGAGCGCGCTACCGCTTGAGCCACATCCCCAGGCCCCCTTTCTTTCTTTTTTAAAATGTTTTTTTTTTTTTTTGTTATAGGTGGGCACAATATCTTTATTTTTATGTGGTGCTGAGGATGGAACCCAGTGCCTCCTGCATGCTAGGTAAGTGCTCTGCCACTGAGCCACACCCCGGCCCCCTACTTTTTTCCTAAAAACGAATCTTAGAGGTAATTCAACACTGTACATAAACCTTCCCCCACCTTTTTGACATTGTGTGGATGTACTATAATTTCTTTAACCAGTGCACTACAGATGGAAATTTAGTTTGCTTCTAAGATTTTGCTTTTAAAATCGTGCTGCAAGATGCGGGAGTCAGGGCTCAAAGAAAGCAAGGCATAGCCAAGTGCAGTGGCACACCTGTACTCCCAGTGACTCAGGAAGCTGAGGAAGGAGGATCGCAAGTTCCAGGCCAGCTTCAGCAACTTAGTGAGGCACTAAGCAACCTAGTGAGATCCTGTCTCAAAATTTAAAAAATTAAAAAAGTGTTGGGGATGTGGCTTAGTTGTAAAGCCTTCAGGTTCAGTCCTCAGTTAAAAAAAAAAAAAAAAAAAAAAAACAAAAAACAAAAAAAAAAAAAAAAAAAAAAAAACAGAGGAAAGAGGTAAGGTAGTCCCGGTGGGCCAGGATGAGCTTCTGAGCAAAATCCTAAAGGATGTGGAGGAGTCAGTCTTAGAAGAGGGTTGGGCAGGACCTGTCCACCAGAAAGATGAGCAGACATCAAAGCACAAAGGCACGAGCAATTAGGTGCCATCAGAGTAAAGTGGGTGTTGGGAAGTGATTTGGAAGCCTCTCTGTGGATTGGGGTATGTGGGGGGGGAGCACAGTGATCCCATGCTAAATGAACTTGGTTTGAACTTGGAATTCCAAACCTTGAGTCCATGGAATTTCTGGAAAGAAGTTAACTTTTGTGTCTTACTTGTGATGATAATATTAAAAAGCATATGAGAAAATCACATTTTGCATCGTCTGGGTGGTACTTAATAAAAAATGATTTCAGTGTCTGCATTTGCCTTTGTGTTTATCATGAGTTGGCACCTAGTAGCCCTTCTTTAATTCTCTCCACTAATGAGAACAGAGGAGGATTTAATATGCAAAGGATGCGCTGGGCTCAGAGGAGACCAGACGTCCTCGCAATAGGCTGGATGAACAAAGGGCTAGCAGAAGTTACACTAAGAGAAGGAGAAGTGAGTCATCGCCCAGCACGCCAGCTCCAGAGACCCCACACTGCAGCTGGCATGCTGGGGTCACGTTTTGTGTAGCACATGGTTGCAGAAAAACATCATCTTTTGCTGTATATCAGTATTTTTATTTTAAAATGCATTGGCTTTATAGTTATGTTTCCATTTAATTGGTAAATTGCCATTGCTTTTGAAGTTCTATGTGCCATAAATATATATGCACACCTAGTGTTATGCCTAATATGTAATTAAACGACATCATACTACAGATAAATGATCACCACTGGGGGCACAGAGAATGTTTTATTCTCCTTTTCAGGGGAGCCACTGGAGAATTTTAAGTTCTGTGTTCATATTAGGTGTCCTTTATTTGCAGGACTGGGGATTGAACCCAAGGGCATTCTACCACTGAGCTACATCCCAGCCTTTTTATTTCTTTGGTACTGGGATTTGAACTCAGGAGTGCTTTACTGAGAGGCGTTGGAGAGGCGTTGCTATGTGGCAGTCACAAGTCCTGAAATGGTGGGATTTTCTGCGTCAGTCCACTACAAATTGAGATTGGAACAGGTAGGTGTGATTGATACACAGGGATTGATTCAAAGGTGGTGCAGCTCTGGAGACGCAGAACAGCTTATTCTTCTCAGGGGCCTTTGAACTTGCAACTGAAAAATAAGTGGGTTGGACTGGATGATATTTTTGGCTGTACTTCTACACTCCTGGCAGTGGCCCACAGGAATGGTGCTGTGTGGGCTTTACTCATTAGGATGCCCGTGGACTCATTCTTGCCCACTGCTTGCTTTTCTCTGAATCCTGAAGGTAATTATTGCTGTGCTCAATTTTGCCTTGGTGGGTTGCCCTGTCCAGGATGCTACTCTGAAGTGTTTAGAAGAAAGCAATGAAAGAATTACCACAGTGATTAATTAACGACGGTACTAACATTTCCAGTGAAATTATAGCTTTCAGCCCAAGTGACTGGAGAGGAATCTTAGAAATGTCGTTTATCCTTTCAACAGTAAATGAAGTAAGTGCTGCCCATCCTTGTGGCTGTGAGGTTTTCTTCAAAACCTTCTGAAGAGTTCTGTCTCCTTCCACTTCCTTTCTCCACCCATGCCCATTTCCTCTCTCTATTCTCACCTGGTCATAATATGTAAGTTTAAGATATCTTTTTAATATCATATTAATGAAGTACCTCTGTTTCTAATTTTAAAGCAAGAGAATCCAAATTGTATAGAGTAAATGAATGTAGAAATGTTTGCTTTCAGCTGGGCTAGGTGGCTCACACCTGTAATCCTAGCTACTCAGGAGGCCAAGGCAGGAGGATTGCAAGTTGGAGGCCAGCCTGGGCAAAATAAAAAGGGCTGGGCAAGTAGTTCAGCGGTAGAGTACCCCCGGGTTTACTTCATATACTTAAAAAAAAAAAAAAAAAAAAAAAGGCTGTGTGCAGAGGTTGACCTAAGCACCCTCTATGGTCATATGGTGAAGGAATCACATAACAGTGCAGAAGGTGTTCTGGCTTTCAGTGCTGCACGACCGTACACATAAAACCTGTAGGTGCTTGAGTTTTCCTCCCTGTGGGTCAGGTTCTCGTTAGAGAATGAGAGGGAGCAAGTTGGAATCATCCTCACTACCACCAACAATTCAGGGGAGCAAATATTTTGCTCTTATATTTTTTAATCTCTAAGGCCCCTTTCACTTGCTAATCTAGTGACCAGACACCCTCCATTTCATAAAAGTGTCTGGCAGTACCCCAAGAATGGCAGCTTATGGGGACACAATATTGATGCACATGAGACAGAGTCCAGCACCAGACAATAATCAAGGGCCACAAATTACACACAAAAAGGAAAGTGTTTGCTGCTACAGTCATATGAAAAGTAACACAGAGGAAGGACTTTTAGAATTTCCCTCTCCACATATAATATGCTCTTATTTCTAAGGAATTTTAAGTACCTCTTAAAATTCTTAAAACTCTCTAGCCAAGTGATTATGGTGATATGGAAAGAACATTAACTGATAATTAGGAAATTTATATTCTGAGTTCGGCTTTTCTGTATGGATGATTTGGAACAAGTCCCTTCTTCTTTCTGGGTCTGTAAAATTAGGGGGGCTGAATTCCATGATCTTAAAAGTTCTTTCTGACTCCTGAGAATCTAAGATACATGCAGCCGGGGAGCCTGAGTCCCTAAAAGCCACCCTCTTTGTTTTAGTCCTGGGGATTGGACCCAGGGGTGCTATACCAGTGAGCCCAGCCCATTTTATTTTTGATTTTGAGACAGGGTCTCACTAAGTTTCCCAGGCTGGCCTTGAATTTATGATCCTCCTGCTTCAGCCTCCTGAGTCACGGGTTATAGGTGTGCATCTTCACACCTGGCCTGACTCCCTAAAATTCTTGAAGCCTGTGAGAGTCTGTCAGTGTCTGTGGTTTGACAGAGCTGAAGGCCTAGGAGCAGGGAGGTTGGCGAGCTGGCTTCGCTGTGTCTTGTCCTGCTCTCTCTCGCCACTGCTTCTGGCAGAAAGCTGAGCAGCCACGCTGTGCTATCCCAGGTGAGACTGGCACTCACAGATGGCCAGGTGTGGTGTCTGTGCTTGATGATTGTCCCTGAAAGCCTGCAAATTCTGTCACATCAGAACAGTTGATCCTGTGATGAGTTGTTCAGGGGGTTTAAAGTGGGAGGCTTCTCATAAATTCTTTCATGCTGCCACTATCCTCCTTCCCCTAAGAGGACTCCCACTTCATGGCTCTAGTCTTCTGAGCGCTGGTACTGACTCTGACCACCAGAGGGCACTCTTGCAATGTGGAGACCAACCGGTGTCTGGAAGCTGGGTCCCATCTTTGCCAGAACATCTGGGTTTGCTGAAGCCTTTCCCTATTTAAGTGGTTCTCGATGGCCATGATTTGCCTCCCTTTCCTCAGGGGACAGTTAACAACATCTGGAGACATTTTGGGTTGTCACATCGGAATGGGGGAAGGCGCTGCTGTTACCTACTCATTAGAAGCTCCGTTGCTGCTCAACATTCAGGAATACACAGCACAGCTCCCCACAGTGATAAAATTGTGCAGCCAAAATGTCAATAGTGCCATCCCCCTGGATGTGGGTCCTCTAGGCTGAGCTTTTAGTGTCCTGGCTTCACCTACCCTGAAGGGAATTCTTAGACCAGTGACCTCAAAGCTTTCTTCATTGCCTGAGATGTGGGGGTCAGAGCCACCAGAAACCACTGAAGGGTCAGGCCCAGGACACAGGAGGGTCCCCATTATGGAGAAAACCCTGTCCTTGGGGCTGGCCTCTGAACAGGCCCCAGCCCCATGACAGCATCATCCTCTTCCTCGTGCTGGGGCAGGCAGCAGTAGCTCTGCCTTCCCGGACGGAGTGTGTCGAGGGGAAAGCCCCTGGTGTGGGTCCTTCCTGCAGGCAGGGGCTGGGCCTGGGGCTCTGGGGGCAAGTGGGAAGCAGGAATTGCCTGGAAAGAAAGTCTGAGGTCCCTTTGTTGGCATGTGGGCGGAGGGAAGGAGACTAAGGTGGTCTCTCAGAAACCCTTCTCCTGGCAGAGGCCCCTGAGAAACCAGGGCCTGGCTTCCCTGCCACCTTGACCTCTCCACTGGGTGAGGACCCGCCCCTGCCTCACTCTGGGCCTCTCCTTCCCTGCTCCAGCCATCTGGCAACGCGTCCACCACCTGAGGACTGAGAGGCTGCCGAAAGGCAGGTGAGGGGATTGGAAGGACAGGACAGACACACTGGGCCAGCTCTGCGCCTCTGTGGCTCCCTAGTTCACGCTCCATGTGGGAGAAAGGCCTGGAGACACAGCTCGACAAACCCGAGCAGTGTAACTGGAGACTGGAGATGGCAATGTGTGTGATGGCCTTGGCCCCTTAGCACCCTTCTCTGTTGGCATGTCCAGGTGTAAGCAAAAGATGCACGCACCCTCACGTCCCTGCCCTGTGCCCCCAGACCCCCAGTGCTTCAACTCTGCTCTGTTAGGGGGTGGAGGGTGGGCAGAGAAAGAAGGGCCTCCTTACCAAGTCCTTGGAATTCTGCCCAGAGGGCCTCCACCACGGGGCTCTGAGGGCCATTCTGTGGAGATCTGAGGGTCATTCTCTGCTCTTCCTGAGGGTTTTTCTTGAAGCTGGTTTTCCACGTTGCTCAGAAGCTCCTGGGGCTATGGCTTCCTCAGCCTTTCTCTGAGTTGACCGCAGTCACTGGGTTGCTTGCTGTTCTTGCTCCAGGTCCCAGACCCTCCCCAACCACCCTCCCCCTTCCCGTGAGGACTCTGGAGGAACAGAAAGCAGGAGGAATGGAGTGGGGAGAGGGGTGGCCACGGAGAGGGCAGTTTGCCACGGGTATTTTATTCAAGTATTACAGAGATAGGAAGCCAGCCCTCCCCAGCCACCTGCCTGGGGCTTGGGGCAGTGGAGACAAAAGAAAGTGCCTAAAGGGGTCAGGAGCCACCAGGACCCAGAAATCAGAGGGATGGAAGAGAAGGGCATGGAGGTGTGGGAGAGTGACTGGGGACCGTGGCCTGGACAGGGAGAAGAGCCCAGAGAAGACAGGAGTCACCTGAGACTCGGCCCCTCCCCAGCACAGTCCTTAATTTCCTCCCTCAGGGGCAGGCGTGGAGTGATTGAAAGATGGAGACCTTAACCTCATTTCTCTCAAAGAAAATTGAGATTGAATGTCTCCTTAGTCTAATGAGCAAGTTGGTGGGAGAAGAGGGTCCCTGCCTTGTTTTCCCCACCCCACACTGGTGTCTTCCTGCCATGCCCCCTCTCTCGGTCCAATTTCAAATTCTTTTGCAATTTTGGCTGGTGTCCAGCCAGGAGGAAGGTGGGCAAGAGGAGAGATGGCGTTTGCAGACTGCTGCCCTTCACATCTTCCTCTCCAATTAAGGAGGATCCAAGGCCCACACGACCTTGAGGTTTTCCAAATTGGGGGACTCAGAGTTTTCCTCCCCAGGTTGGAGTCTGTGGGTCTCTGAGGAGATGCCCTCCCTGGGGTTCAGGCAGCCCTTGGCCCCTGCCACAGCGTCAGGTTTTACCTCCAGCCCCTCAGGCCTGAGCGACAGGAGTCGCTCACCGGGGCCCTGGCCCAACCCGGCCAACAGGGGGAGCCCTGGAAAATGCCAGGACCCTGGGGAGAAGCCGGGTCCTGGAAGCAGGGTGTCTAGCTTGGGGGTCCCTGGGAGCAGCTGCTCTGAGGAGAGAGGAGTCGAGAAGGGCCCTGAGAGGCCAGTCCAGTTGGAAGGGAGAGGAGGCAGAAGAGCGGGGGTGAAGGTGGCAAGGCTGGGCAGCTCGCCTTGGGGGTTCCCAAAGTGGCAGCAAGGGCCCAGCCGGCAAGGGCCCAAGGCAGAACCAAGTCCTAGAGGAAGAAAGAGAAAGGGTCAAAATGGCGCCTTCCTCTCAGAGATGCCACTCACTCCTCCCATTTCCCATTCCTTTCTCCTCTTGCTCCAAAGCCTCTCCCTGACCCCACCCCTCTTTCCTCCCCTGTTTGCTTTTGTTCAGGTTCATCCTAAATGGCTTTTCCTCTGGGAAGCTTCCCAAGACTCCCAGCCTGGTGGGAGCATGGCTGCCCGCAGTCCTCACTCTCTGTACCTCTCCTTGGGGCACTTAGCTCCTTAGCATCATGCTGTCATCTGTGTACTTATGTATGCAATGTCTGTGCCCCAGCTCAGTGTGGGCACGACGTGTATTTATTTTTTCTTTCCTGAACCCAGCCCAGCCTAGCACACATCAAGTGCCTCAGTAAAACCATGGTGAGAACCAGGTGTGGTGGCACAGGCTGTAATCCCAGCTATTTTGGAGACCAGCCTGGGCAAATTTAACAAGACCTTGCTTTAAAATGAAATATACAAAGTGCTGGGGTGGCAGTCACTGGTAGAATCCCGGGTTCCATCCCCTGTATCCCAGAAACAAAACGAAACACACTGAGAGAAGCAAAGGGCGCTGTTTGCCAAAACGCAGTGAATCCATCCTTTGCCTTCCCTGTCCCTGCAGCGAAGAGCTCGAGTACTAGCTGGACAAAGAATCTGTGGTGTGGTCTTGGGCTTGTTGCTTAAATTTGAAAGCCTCTTTCTTCATCTGCAGAGTCCCTTATCCTGGCTAAGATCAGGCAGCATCACTGGTAATAAGGGAACTGCAGAGATCGTGGCTGTGAGCCCGGGATGGATGAGGGGTGAATCCCAGCTTCCTCTTCTCTGTCGCGTCTGGGCCCCATAATTCTCCTCCTCTAAGAACCCTGCACTCACCCCATTCCTTCCAAATCTGCCCTCTTTCCTCTTGCCATCTGCCAGGATCCTGTGCTAGGGATGCCCAGCCTGGACCTAATTAGCTAGACCTCCAAACCATTTTCTGTATTTCAAGTAGCCTGACTGCAACTCCACATTTTTTCTCATTTTTAACCTAAAGAGGATAGGAACAAGGTCGCCACATCAGCAGGGGAGTGTAATGAATAAAAACAGGGAAGACAAATTCATTATTATTTAATAATAAAATAAAGTCAGATCATGAAGCATCAGTGATCCTCCATGGGAAAATGTAGGAGACCCCTGTCAGAGTATACCCTCTTTGTAGGCCAGTGTTCTTTTTTTTTTAATTTAATTTTTTTTATTAGCTACACATGACATTACAATGATCTTGGCAATTCATACATTTGAATCATTGGGTATAATTTCTCATTTTTCTAATTGTACAGATTGCAGAATTACACTGGTCATAGTCATCTATATGCATACAGAAATCATAATGTACTAGGCCAGTGTTCTTTGTCTTGGGTTCTTAGATGGTGTGGGGACTTGTTTCCCAGGAAGGCTGTGTCCTCTGGGTGTTCCAGCCAAGCAGGCAGAGGACAGGTTTCTTTGTTTTGTTTTTTTGTATTGGGATTGAACCCAGGGAAGTTTTACCACTGAGCTATATCCTTAGTCTTTTTATTTTATTTTATTTATTTATTTATTTATTTATTTATTTATTTATTGAAACAGGGTCTTGCTATGTTGCTTAGGTTGGTTTTGAACTCGTGATCTTCCCGTCTCAGCCTCCTGAGCCACTGGGATTATAGTGTGTGCCACCGCACCTGGCTCCAGGGGAGATGTTTCTAATACCTCTCCCACCCCTCTGCCACCCAGCCCTGCAGCTTCCTGGCTCTAGCTCAGTCCCCACACTCTCCTGTCCAGAAGCAACTTCCTCTCTTGGCATCCTGTGCTTTGAGTGAGGCTGGGGGTATGATTGGCACAGGGTTCTGGGTGGTTTTATGGTGCTAGGGATCAAACCCGGCTTGGTACACTCTAGACAAATGCTCTACCACTGAGCCACATCCCCGGCCCGTTTTTATATTATTTTGAAACAGGGTCTTGCTGGCCTGCAACTTGCCATCCTCCTGCCTCAGCCCCCCAGGGCACTGGGTCTACAGATATGTGCCTGGCTGGCACGGGTTGGGAATCCCAGTTCAGATGGAGCATTCCGATGATAACCTTCACTAACCTCCTGGTGATCTAAACCTGTTGTGTCCTCAGGGTCAAGTGTGGGCAGGACCTGTGTGCTCCAGGAGGGCAGAGATGTGAAAGAGTCCCCTCCAAGCTGGGGCTTAGGAAAGGAACCCTTTTCTTTTCCTCATTGTTTTCCAAAGAGGGACACTCTATGCCTAGGGCACTTTCGGGGGGCGGGGTGGAGAGACAGGGAGGGCTCTTCAGGTGCTGTTCGGTTCCAGGCTGTCAGACTGGTGGCCTAGCGAGTCCCAGCCTGCCCAAGGCTGCCCTACACCCGCAGCCTCAGCTGTTCTCCCAGGGGCACAGAGTCTGGGTCCCCAGCTGCACCTGGAGTAGGCCAAACACTGAGGATCCTTATTCCATGAAACCGGCTGGGGCGGAGGGGTAGTTCTCTGGTCTCTGCACAGGAGCTTTGGATTGGTTGAATATCTGTGTGATCTTTTCCACAGAAAATCTAATTTTGTTGCTCTAGGAGCTAATCAGCCTGGGAGGTTGAGGCAGGAGAATTGCAAGTGTGAGGGCAGCCTTAGCAAATTAACAAGATTCTCACTCAAAGTAAAAAATGAAAAAGGACTGGGAAAGTAGCCCAGGGGTAGAGCACCCCTGGATTGAATCCCAGTACCAAAAAAAAAAAAAAGCTAACTGGCATCTGTCTGTGTTTTCACCTTCTCCCACACCATCCCAAGTGCCAAGCCACTGGCCTTCTCCTGGTTCCTCTTTCTGTCCCAGGGCTTTTACACACTCTGCTTGCCCTGTTCTCCCTGCTCCTCTGAGCTCAGCTGACAGCTATGCACACTTTGGGTCTCAGCTCATATGTCACTGTGTTGGGGAAGTGTGATGCCCTCGGCACCCTCAACTTCTCCTCGGTAGCGCGTAGCAGTTATAACTGCATACCTCTTAGTAATTGAACATATGCACCCCCTCTTGCTTACAAGCCCTGTAAAGGCACCCCCAGTCCCTAAGACAGTGTCTGGCACGCTGAACAGGTTATTAAACATCTGATGCAAGGAGCGAGTGGATGAGTGAGTAAATCAGTGAGTGAGCTGTGTCTTCTCCATCTGCCTTCAGCTGAGGCTCCTCCTTCAGCCCCTGGCTCTTGTCTTGGTCTCACTGTCTCCTGCCTGGATTATCTTCAAAAGCCTCCCAATGCCAGTCTGTGTCTCCTCCAGTCCCAACTACACACAGAGCAGAGATATCCCTTCACTTACGGTAGGGTTAAGTGCTGGACAAACCCATTGTAAGTTGAAAATATTGCAAGTCAAAATATATAATATACCTAACCTACAGAATATCTTAGCTTAGCAACACAGGGCACTGTAGAGCATTGGTGGTTTCCCCCTCTGACATGTAGGCAATCCACAGCTGTGGCTCCCAGACAAAGATCAAAACCCAAAGTTCCAAGCATGGTCCATACTGAATAGCAGATAGCTTTTTGCCCTGTTTGAAGTCACACCATTATAAGTTGGGAAACTCTTGTAGTTCTTATCAAATGAAAATCTGAGCCGGGCCCTGGTGGTACATGCTTGTAATCCAGTAACTCTGGAGACTGAGATGGGAGGATTGCAAGTTTGAGGGCAGCCTCAGCAACTTAGAGAGACCCTGTCTCAAAAATAAATAAATAAACAAATAAATAAATGGAACTGGAGATGTAGTTTATTGGTAAAGTACCCCCTGCGTTCAATCCTCAGTACCCTTCCCCAGTATCTGAACTTGCTCTCCCTCCTGGCCCCCTCCTACCGGTAGGATAAAGTCCAACTGCCCTAGAATAGTTTCTAAGGCCTTCCGGGGCAGACACTGGTTTGCCTTGCCAAGTCCATCTTTGGCTGTTCCTGCTTATTCCGACCCCATCGTATAACTTACTCTGACCACAGCAAGATACTACCAGCAGGATGCCAGATTTGCTATGTTTGCCAACTGCTTTCTTTAAAAATATTTTATTGTAGATGGACACCATACCTTTATTTTGTTTTTTTATTTATTCATTTTTATGTGGTGCTGGGGATTGAACCCAGTGCCTCACGCATGCTAGGCAATCATTCTGCCACTGAGCCACAACCCCAGCCCTTGCCAACTGCTTTTTACTTTGCAAATTCTATTCCCTCTGCCAGGGCATCTTTTTTTCACCTGTTGAGGTGTGGCCTTGTCCAGGAAACCCCATCTCCTCCTGTGCATCTCCCCATTACCTTGTTCTTGCCTGAATCTCAGAACTGGTCCCTGATAATCCTCACCTTTCTGTTCCCCATTAGGCTCTCAGTTTATTCCTCCCTCACTCTCTCCCTTCCTTCCTTCCCCAGGGATTGAACCCAGAGGTGCTTAACCACTGAGCCACATCCCCAGCCCCATTTCTTTGTATTTTATTTAGAGACAGGGTCTCACTGAGTTGCTTAGTGTTTCACTAAGTTGCTGAGGCAGGCTCTGAATTCATGATCCTCCTGCCTCAGCCTCCCTTACCTTGGGATTAGAGGTGTGTGCCACCACGCCTGGCAGGTCTGAGTTTCTTGAGGGTCATCTTTCATATCTGAGTCCCCACACCTAGTAAATAGCTGTGCTTGACCAACGTTGGTTGAGTGAATGAGTGAATGACTTGAGTGCTTTTCCTGGTCTCACGCCTGCTTAGCCACGTACTCAGCCAGGAGGGCCCTCCCCTTCTCTGGTTAAGATTTCCTGCCCCTACCCGTTCTCTGCACTCACGGTGGACGGTGCTGCTGGTCCCCTTCTTCTCCCCAGTAGCCTCTGGTGGCCCCTGGGGGGTCTGCAGTCCAGCCAGTTGCTCCGCCACGGCCCGGTGGGTAAACAGCATGTTGTGCAGGAGCTGAGGGGTGAGGAGAAGGAGGGGAGGGGGGATGGACTCACCCCGGCATCTCTTCCTCTGGAACATGCCTGTACCTCATCACCCAGTTCAAAAACCGAAATACCCCCATACTGGTGGTTAACAGCCATCACTTTTCTCTGATCCACAACTGAATGAGTGACGCCCGTCACAGAAGTCACCCTTTCTCCCAGGGGTGTACCATATGGACTGTTACATACCCCTGCTCCTGGGGTCCTTAGGGATGAGGATGTGGGAAAAGAAGAGCATCAGAGGCCAATGAGATCCCAAAGGCAGAGAGCAGGGACAGGGGCTTCCTGGGCAGGGGCAGGTCCTGGTAGGGCTCTGGGAAGGGCCACCTTCATGCCTACCTCACTCTGCACACCCGTGGGCACCAGGGCTGGCCGACCCAGGGGGGGAGCCCCCAGCAGCAGGTGTGGGGGTGATGGTGCCCGCACTCCCCACAAAGGGCAGTTGACGATGATGAGCTTGCTGAAGTTGAACTTGTAAGTGAACCTCTTCCCTTTGGTCTTGTGCAGGATCCTCTTGTTGTAGTAATACCTGGGGAAGGGAAGTCGACAAGGAGTTGGCTCAGTGGGAAGGGGGCAGAGTCAGAGCCCCCTCCCCAGGCCAGCAGAGTTGACCATGCTGTCTTGAGGACCCTGGGCCTCTTCCCACATGGAAGGACATTTCCTAAGCCTGGGAGGAGTGGGAACAGGACCGGGTGTCAGGAATCAGCCCTTTTCTTTGAACTCTGTACACTCCAGTTGCGCTGGCCACCGCCTCTCACCTGAGGGCCCGGCTCAGCTTGTCATAATTCATCTGTGGTTTGCATTTCCTGCGGCCCCAGAGGCGGGCCACCTCATCGGGATCCTTGATGACAAACTCCCCATACTCTCCCTGCTGCCAGGCGATGACATGGCGGAACTCTTCCTTCTGCAGCAGCTCCAGGATGAAGTGCCACAGCTGGATCTGCCGGGAGCCAGGGGACGACTCGGCTTTGTAGGCCCAGTCAGGGAAGGCCACGCCTGGGGTGGGGAAGTGAGAGTGAGGGCGCCCTGCTTCTCCAGAGGCCCCCAAAGCCGCTGCGAGAGCATGGGAGAGCTTCAGAGAGGCTCACCTGAGATCCAGTAGTTGCCAGGGGTGGCCGGAATGCCCTCAGCCAGGCAGGCACAGTGCATGGTCCCCGCCAGGTGTCAGAGGACTGAGGCCGGACCTGGGGGGAAACGGTCACCACTAAGAGGAAGGGGAAAAGGAAGGGATGGAGGGTCAGGAAGGAAACTTCCCAGTCTCAGGGCAGGGCCCAGCCTCCTCTGGGGACCTCCTCGCTGCCCAGAGGCTGACCCAGGACTGGGCTCAGGGCTGAACCACTTACACAGAGAGAGAGGAAGGCAAAGTTCCTGCGTCCTGTCCCACGGGGCGGGGTGGGGGGGGGATTTAGACATGGAACAGAGGATCTCTTCTTAGGGCTTAACAGGATTGGAGTTTTCTCCAAGAGAAGACAAGAGAAAATGTGATTAATTGCTGACTCTTTCTAAGCCTTGAATGGGGAGGAGGCAGCATGTACACATATCTGTCTGTACCTTAATAGTACTTGGAACAGTTTTATTTGAGATGAACAAAGATTTTTGCTTGTTATTTTCACCAATGAGTCCCAGGGGCCTGGCACACAATAGATGTACAACAAATGATCGAAACAGAATAAATGAACAGCATCATTTTTTAATGTGTGTGCTTTCCCTCAGAGTGTTGATTACAAAAAGTCAGGAACCTTGTCTGTCTGGCTCACTGCTGACACCCTAGGTATTGAGACTATTTATTGAATTAATGAACCATGGGAGAGCTGGCTGCAATGGGGCATGCCTGTAATTCCAGCAACTTGGGAGGCTGAGGAAAGAGGATTGCAAATTCAAGGCCAGTTTAGGCAACTTAGCGAGATCCTATCTCAAAATAAAAAATAAAAAGTCTGGGTTTGTAGCTCAGTGGTAGAGCACCTCTGGGTTGAATCCCCTGTACCAAAAATGAATGAATAAATAAATAACCATGGGCACAAAAGAGGGGAAATTGATTGCTGGTTCTTAACTGATAGGGGTGGGGTAGGGAGGGGAGTTTGGAATGAGCCCCAGCGAGTCAGACTTGTAGGTGAAGGGAGGACAATCACTGTTGAAGGAAGCAGGGCACAGTGGCACATGTCTGTAATCCCAGTGACTCGGGAGGCAGGAGGACCACCAGTTCAAGGCCATCCTGGGCAACTTAGCAAGACCCTATCAAATTAAAAAATAAATAAATAAATGAAGAGGATTGGGGATACAACTCAGTGGGAGAGTACTCTGGGTTTATCCCCAGGACGACGATGACATCATCATCATCATCATCATCATAGAAAATGTTGAAGCAAAGCCTTCCATATGGAACAGAGGATGTCAGTACAAGACTGGTTTTTGCTGTCACTAATGAAACATGAGACAATGTGCAAGAGGACTGGGAAGGAATGGGAGAGGTGGCCGTGGGGATGTGGGGACTGCTTCGGGGTGGGTCGGGGCAGGGGAGATTCCTGTGTGTTTTTAGGACTGCGTGCAACCAGGATTACACAACCTGGCCTCTGGGGTTTCCTCTCCCATGATGACGCTTTATTCTCAACTAGAATTTGTTAGGCGCTCAGGTCTGGAGGACGAGATGGTGTGTCTGGAGCAACCTCCCCACATTCCAGAGGAGCTTAGTGAGGGAAAGTGAGTTGACCAAAGACACCTGGAGAATTAGTCGACACTCCACAGCACTTTCTATTAGACCCAGTTGCCTGAAGACTTTAAAGAAGCTGGGCGTGGTGCTGCCACCTGTAATCCCAGCTTCTCTGGAGGCTGAGGCAGGAGGATGGACAACTGAGTGAGACCCCGTCTCAAAAATAGGGCTAGGGATGTAGCTCAGTGGTAGACAGCCCTGGTACTGGGGGTGGGGGGAGTCCTCTTTTGTCCTAAAGTGAGTGCTTCTGTCTCATTTTAGGAACTTTGGCTGGAAATGGGGTGTGTTTATGCAAAGGTGAGAGGTGTCGAGGTAAAGCTGTTCCCTGGAGGAAGCAGATGGAATTCTATAGCTTGCTCTGGTGCCTGTTGGATCTGGTGGTGTTTCTAGGTCTGGAGGATCTGGGACCTCATGGTATATCTGGGATCTGGCAAGAAGAGTACAATTAAACCTACCACTGGAGACCCTCACTGTGCCTGCATAAGGGACTGAAATTGACATAGGCTGAGACCTCACACAAGGTATAGGCTCAGGGGGGCACGTTCGGGCACATTCCCTAAAGCTGTACAGCTAAGTGAAAGAGTGGGAAGCAATACTGAGTCAAGATGTAGCTGTGCTCGGTGGTGCACTCCTGTAACCCCAGTGGCTCCGGAGGCTGAGGCAGGATGATCGCGAGTTCAAAGCCAGTCTCGGCAATGGTGAGGCGCTAAGCAACTCATTGAGACCCTGCCTCTAAATAAAATACGAAATAGGGCTGGGGACGTGGCTTAGTGATTGAGTGCCCCTGAGTTCAATCCCTGGTATGCACCCTCCCCCCAAGAAAAAAAAGATTTAAAAGATTCAGCTGCAAAGGTAGGCTTGCAATACCCTTTCCCTGCTCTTTAAAAAGGAACAAAAACAGAAATGTAAACACAAAACAAAGTGGTAGCCTGGTGCAGTGGGGCACACCTATGATATCAGCATCTCAGGACACTGAGATAGGAGGATTACAAATTCAAGGCCAGTCTCAGCAATTTAGTTACACCCTAAGCAACTTAGGGAGACTCTCAAAATATAGGCTGGGGGGCGCTGGGGATGTGGCTTAGTGCTTTAGTGCTGCTGGGTTCAATCCCTGGTACAAAACAAAAACAAAACAACAACCCCAGGCCAGCCAAATACAAAAGGAAGTGGTACCTTCCCAGCCTCTCCTGGGCTAAGCCTCACTTGTGGATCCTCAGCCCTCCAGCAGCCTGCCAGTTCTGTGTGTGGAAAGCCTTACTTTTTAATTTTTTAAATTTTTTGCAGTACTGGGGATTGAACCCAGGGGAGCTCTAACACTGAGCTACATCCCCAGCCCTATTTCGTATTTTACTTTATTTTTGAGACAGGGTCTCTCTAAATTGCTGAGGCTGGCCTCAAACTGATGATCCTCCTGAATCAACCTCCTTAGTCTCTGGGATTACAATCGCGTGCTACTGCACCCAGTCCTTTCATTCCCACTCTGTCCCCTCCTCCTGGTCCTCTAGGCCCTGGGGCTCCTTCCCCCTTGTGCTGTGGATTAATCACACAAAGCTTGGTGGCCCTCTGACCACTGACTACGCAGCTTCTTCAGCCCCTGTAACCCCCCGGCGACACCCTTGCAGTGGCCTGAGAGGAGGACGAGTATTAAGAACTATAAATCAAAAAGGACCGTAACCCAATCTTGAATGGCCAGCGTGGTTTGTCTAAAGCACTTTGGGTTCCTGGAAGGGTTATAGCAGCAAGGAATTGCTGTCATCATCACCACCATCATCATCATCATCATTCTGATTATAACAATTAGGTTAATCCTCTTGGCTAATATAACTGTTCATTACAATACATGTAGGTTTTAGATCATTATTTAATAAAAGCAATATAAATAATGATGATAACATTGGAGACTCAGTCTGAAGTCAGGGTTTAGAGCCAAAGGAAATGTCCAAAGCAAATTCTTCACCCATTTAACATTGGACTTGACGTTTTTTTTTTTTTCAAGTGTAACTTCATCGATTCTTCACAATAATCCTCGGAGGTGGCTATTAGCTACGTTTTGCAAGCCGAGGAAATTAAGGCTCAAAGAGATTAAAAGACTTGCATAAGATCCTGGCCAAGGGGTGGAGCTGGATGGGAACAGGTCTGTCTGACTCTGAGCTGAGCTGCAATCAGTCCATCATGGCAGAAAAGTTGAGGATGAAAATTTGGGAGCGGAGAGGTGAGGCTGGGCGGGAGGCCCTGAGCCCCTAAGGAAGCACTGCACTCCCACCCTACGATCTGAACTTACAAAATCAAAGTGCTGTGAGTAGGTGAGGTGGAGTCTCCCAGGTTCCTAAATGTCCATTTTTTTTTTTCCTTGCCAGAAAAATATTTCACAGAGATCCCAGGAAGTCAGAGAAGAGCCAACCAGATGGACAGAGAGGACAAGAAAGACAGGATCATACACAAATACACCTATTTAAAAAGCCAAGAGTGTTTAAGCCCAATGTTACAGGTATGCAAACAACAAACAAACAAAACCTGGTACGGAAAGTCATTTTGTGGTTAGGGGCCTTCCAAGCAGCTGGAATGAATCGACGATATAATCTGATCGATTGGACAAAACCGAGTCTTCCCAGGGACTGCTTGATTGATTCAGTGGGAAAATGGAACTGTTTATAAATACAAAGGCCGACCGTCGGGATCAGCGAGAGGGAGAATGAACCAGAGAGGAGACAGAAATAGTGATGCAGATAAAGTCGAGTATGGCCCTGGGGGTGGGGGCTGGGTGAAAGATGAGCCCCAGGGATCAGGGTGGGAAAGAAGCCCCTCAGAGACAGCGGTGGCAGTCCCCAGGGGATATTTTATGCTTGTTAGCTTTGAACAAACTGCACAGCCCCCTCCCGTCCGCCAAATCCCCAATCTGATTAGGAGCCTCTGGTCTCTCCCCTTGATCTCGGCCCCAAGTGGAGGGTGGGGAGTCCTGGGACCTGCTTAATGCTATTAAGTAAAGCTGCTTAGGTAGGAGAGCAAGAAGAACTGGGGGCTGGGAGGGCAAAGCCGGCCACCGTACCTGGGGGAGTTTAGGGAAGGGGCAGCCTCCCCTCAGTCTCCTTTCCCTTCCTCCCTGACCAAGGGACACGCTGGCAGAGACCGGGGCACCTTGAACCTCTGCCCCTCCTGCTGGGGCTGGGAGTCAGCTCCTCCAGCAGCCTCAGCCCACCCTCTCCCCTCCTCGCCCTGAGCCGCCTCCGGGCTCCCTCTCCAGGCCCCTCGCCTAGACCCAGATCTTGGCGCAGTCCCTGCTCCCAACCTGCCCCTTGCTGCTCTTGTCCCTGGTCCCTAGGGGCCATGGGATTTAAAAGGTTTGTGTGACTCCCGGGAACAGAAATCCAAACCCAGAAATCCAACCTGGGGAGCAGTCACACGGGCAGTCGAAGGTCGGGGGAAAGTCACTAACCTCACACACACCTTAAGGGACCTCAGATTTAGGGGAATGGGACGTGAGCTACCCAGCAACAGGCTTCCCGGCTGGGACTCTGCATCTGACCCCTGCTGGTCTGTGGCATGCGGCCTTTGTCTTCTGCTCATTTGCTCCTCCATGATGCCTCTCTCCTCGTCCTTCCTGCTACTCCCCATCCTCCAGGCTTCCTTGGTCTTCCTCCTCTGCCACCATCCATTTATGGCACGTTCTCCCTCCTCCCAGTACCCGTGATTAAACTAGGGGCACTTACCACTGAGCCACATCCCCAACCCTTTTTTATTTAATTTTTTAAATTTTGAGACAGGGTCTTGCTAAATTGTTGAGGCTGGCCTCAAACTTGTGATCCTCCTGCCTCAGCCTCCCAGATTACTAGGATGGGAGATGTGTGCCACCGTAACTGGCGTGCTGTACCTTTCCCCTCTTTTCTCTCTTCCCTGTTGTGTCTTTTCCTGTCTTTCTTGGTGGCCATCTCCGTCTGGCCTCCTCTTTTCCAGGGTGATCTCTGTCTTATCACTCAGCCTTGTCTCTGTCACGGCCTCTCCTTGTCACTCTCTGTGTTCTTGCCTCCCTGTCTCTCCCCTCCTGCCCCGACTCTCACCCTTGCTTCAGAACTGGAAGCTGACTGTAGCCCCAGCTTGTGGCTCCTGGACTTTTACAGCCTCACATCCCCACGCCCCGAATCCCTCCAGCTTCCTTCCCCAGGGACACCTGGGCATGGGTTCCCTCCAGAGCTTTCCTGTCAGCCTGCCTGGGGAGCCCCCTGGGTAAACCCCCTCTTCAGTGTCCCCACCCAAGGACAAGAAATCCCCGGCCCAGGAGCTGAGGTGGCCGGGAGCCAGGCTGGGAGAGAGGAAGTGAAAGTGCCTACCCAAGAGCTGGGCCGGGTGGGACGGCCCACTGGCCTGGGGCTAAAGGACAGGGACCACAAAAATGGGGCCGTGACATCAGCAGTGGGCACCAGAGGTGGCCTCGCTAGCTGGGAGCCTTTGACAGACAGCTCTGACTCAACCCCGATCCTCAGCCCCCAGACTTCTCCCAAATGCCAGGCCCAACCACAGGCTCCATCCACAGGTCCTGGTCCCTGTGCCCTCTGGGGCCCACTGCCCTTGGGCAGAGCCAGAAAAGGGAGGGCAGGGGCACCCACAGTCTTTCTGCTGGGAAGGGGTGGGGAGAAGGCAGGACTCCCCCTCCGGGCCCCCAGCCTGCCTCTGCGCTCGCCGTCCCAGGGCTCTGGAGCCAGTGAGGGCGAGGACTCGCTCTCAGACCTCTGGCTTCTTGGTTCTAGTTCTTTGGGAAGAACCAGGAGTCTGGGAAGGGAGGAGGCCGGTGGGGCAGCACCCCTCACCCCACCAGAGGCCTCCATTGGAGTCACCCTGCCTGGCCCAGGAGGGCACATGACCCTCCTCCTTGTACCCCTGTGCCCACCACTGCTTCTCAGGTCCCCACGTTGTGATGCCCACAGCTTCACCTGCCTCCCTCTGCCCAGTAGAAAGAGCTGATTGCCAGCCCTGACTTCAGACCCACTGGGGTGGCAGCGCTGGCGCCGGGGCGCATATGGCAGGTCAGGGAGGTGCCAAGGCCATCATGCCCCTCAGCCCCAGAGTCCAGCTCGACCCTGCAGACCAGGAGTGGGCTGTCCGGAGAGCTGTGTCCACCTGGGCAGAGGTGCCTGCTGGGTCTGCTGCCCTACAGACGCTCTCCTGCAGGTGCCCAGGTTGGCACTGCATGTCCCACACCTGGATGGGGAAGTCCCGCCACCTCTCAGGAGGCTTCACTGCCTCTCCACCTCCTGAAGCTTCCCTTTCCCAACTGCCCACAACTGGCTCCACAGGGGGTGGAGGTGGGAGCACAGAGACCGTCCCTCGGTGCCAGTCCCTTACCGAGGTGCAGCAGCCAAGTCCCCGCGCGCAGCGCAGCGCCGCGCAGCTCGCTCCTCTGGCGCACTCCTCGCCCAGCGACGACCCCGCGCTCATCACGCTCATCACAGCGTTAGGGTTACTTAAAATGAGAGCGGGATCTCCAAGCTCCCAGGGGAGCTGCTGTGGTTTTCAGACAATAGCATTAACCCTTCGGGGGCCAGCGGCACCACCGGCCTGCGCCCCCTCCCGTGTGCCTCCACCCGTGGGGGTGGGGTGGGAGGAGTGTCTTTCTCTGAGTCCTTTGCATCCAGAGCCTCTTCTGGAGCAGATGGCTCCTACAGTGTTTGGCCAAGAGGAAGACTGGTGAGGGACCACCTCTTCTTCAACTCTTGGAAGTAATGCAGACCTGTCCTTCCAGCTGTCTACCTTTTGCTCTGTCAACCCTTCTCTCTGTTGGAGATACAGACCAGACCTGGAAAACAACCAGCCTTCACAACCTCTGACTTCACCCCACCGCATCTGGCTTCTCCCTCTAAGTCCTAGACTCCCAGCTTTGCTCACATATTGGTTCTGGATCTTTACAATTTATAACTTTTCTTCTTGGTCTCAAACAAATACCAACAGTTCACTCAATCTCTTTTTCTAAGGATTTTTATGCACTTATTCTACCTATTCTCTTGGAGTTTTAGGAAATAATTTTCTTTTTACTTTTTCTTTTTCTTTAGCAGTACTGGGAATTGAATCCTGGATCTTGCACATACTAGGCAACTGCTCCACTGAGTTACACCCCAACCCTTTTAAAATTTCTATTTTGAGACAGGATCTTGCTAAATCACTGAGGCTGGCTGGCCTCAAACTTGCCATCCTCCTGCCTCAGCCTGCTGAGTTGCTGGGATTACAGGTGTGTGCCACTATGCCTGGTGTCTTTTCCTTTTTCTTATGAATTCAACTTGAAGTTAGACAGCAGGAAGAACTTCCAACCGAGCAATAAGCCAGCTAGGAGAATGTGGCTACAGGGGCATCAGATAGCCTGCTAAAGAACAAGATAAGGGGTAGGATTCCAGGATATCCTGGAGAGGGAATGGAGGACTTAGGTAACTGAACTCAGGACAGGTTTTTCAGGAGAAACTGGAGGAGGGTAGATGCCAAAGACAGAGCCTCTCTCTTTAAAGTTCTGGGGACCAAGTCACCCTGGAGCCTGCCAGACCTGTGTGCAATCTTCCGACAACTCACAGGGAGGAGAAGATTGATGGATGTCATTGGGGGAATCAATATGATTTTCTTTTTTCTCCCCTGACTCTGAGAGGCCGAGTTTCCCACCGCTCCCCCTCCCCACTCATTACCAGCCCCTCCCAGCCCTGAGCTGATCGAGATGGGAATGGAGGGCCATGGAATTAAATTCTGGGGGTTGTTTTCTGGTTAAATCAACCGAAGCTAACATGATGGAAAGGTGAGAGAGAGGCTGATTGATGGAAGAGATGGAGCTGGGGGCCATGGAGAGGGTCCTCGTGGCGCAGGGGCGGGGGCTGGGGCTGCAAATGGAGGGTTGGCATGGAACACGGTGCCAGGGAGCTGGGTGGAGGGGGAGAGAGGATGTTGGCAAGGACTAGGCCGGCTTGGTTTCCCCCGAAGAAAGCCACTAGCAGAAAGACAGCCCCAAATAAGAGGCTAGCTTGCAGTGTCCCGGGTGCTTCTCTCAGGTGCCTTGGTATTTCCTTGTCTGGAGAGCCTGTCTGCCTCTTGCTCACTGTCACCCTATCCTAGCTTGTTGACTTGAGTTTCAGAGCTGGGGGCGATGGTGCACGCCTGGCCTGTAATCCCAGCCACTTGGGAGGCTGAGGCAGGAGGATTGCAGGTCCGAAGCCAGCCTCAGCAAGTTAGTGAGGCTGTAAGCAACCTAGTGAGACCTGTCTCTAAATAAAAAATAAAAAGGGCTGGGGATGTGGCTCAGTGGTAAAGCCCCTCTGGGTTCAATCACGGGTACCAAATACAAAATAAAATAAATCCGGAGGCAGGAGGATCACGAGTTCAAAGTCAGCCTCAGCAAAGCGAGGCACTAAGCAACTCAGTGAGACCCTGTCTCTAAATAAAATACAAACAGGGCTGGGGATGTGGCTGTCAGTGCCCCTGAGTTCAATCCCCAGTACCAAAAACAAAACAAAATAAAAGCAA